TTTTTTCACTGGAAGGCGCTTTTTCATTTCGGCGCCAGGCCAAAGCCTTTTTTTTTCTCCCATTCTGTTAAACGTGAGCAGCGTTTTTAAGGTTGGATTTTTGTCTACGACAATTTGGATGCTATATCTTATTTATTTATTTCATTGCATCACTGCCCTGAGCCTTTGCGAAAGGCGGGATGTAAGCGCAAGGAAGGATGAGAGGGAGTGTAATGGCAAACCGGTAATGGGGTGTGCGACAGCGCCCCCCTGAGGCTGTTGTGGGCGACACTTCAGCGGGGAGCTGGTCCAGGGCCCGTCCCGCAGAGGCGCCCAGCGGGGAGCGGAGCTGAAAGGGTGCGTGTGTCCCCCGTCCCGCAGGAGGACGCCCCCGCGGAGCAGCCGGCGGCAAGGGCAGCGGCGAGCGCCGGAAGCGGACCCATTTCTCCCCCGCCGAGGTGGCCATCCTCGTGGAGGCGTTCGCCAAGGACCCCTACCCGGGCTTCGAGGAGCGGGAGAAGCTGGCGAGCAGGGTGCAGAAGCTGGAGCCGCGCGTGCACGTAAGAAAGCGCGAGCGAGCGCGCCGGCCGGGCTGCAGGGGCTGCGCGGGGCGCGCACAGAGCGCGGCCCCGCGCCTGCCCGGGGACGCCGGCGGCCGTGGCAAAGCGGCCGGCGGGACGCGGGGCTGAGCGCCCCAGGAGGGCTTTCCGCTGGCGGCAGGTAGGCAGACGCGGGGGGGGGGGGGGCCCGGGGGCCCCCCCCCCCCCCGCCCGCCTCCGGCGCACCTGGACAGGTGTCCCGCGAGAGGGGGGGAGCGCCGCGCGCCCGCCAGCCCCCGGGGGCAGGGAGCGGGCGCCCGGTCGCTGGAAAAAGGTATTTGCAGGCTGGCCTGAAGCGGATCAGGGCTACGACCAGAGGCCGCCTGGTTTTGCATCCTACGTGACCCAGCGGCGTTGACCCCAAATAGGCGTGCACCGGACTGCGACCTCCGTGTCTTGCGCTTGAGAGGGCGAAGCCTGCGCAGGTCACCGAGCGCACTTCGGGGTGGTTGCGCAAGCGCTCGGTCCTCAGCTGTGGAAGTGAAGTTGTGTCTGACTTCGGCGGCTGCTGCGGGGCTGTCCCGCGACAGAAGGTCCAAAGGGCCCCGCCGGGCAAGTCCTGCGGCTCAGTCTGGTTGGAAAGTGTCCTCGCACAGCCCTCGCTCATCTCAGGGCAGCCCCTGGCGGGAGAAGCTCCCATTGCAAAGAAGCTCCCCTGGATTCCGCCCCATTGCAAAGCCTTGCTGATCGCTAGCCCCACTACCTCGCGTGGTCGCCTTTGCCTTGCCTTTCCCCCATCGGATGAATGCTGAAGATCCGTAGCCCTGCCTCCTTTCAGCCCAGCCCTTATCAGGTTTATGCGAGCAAATCGATTTCAATTGAACTTGTAATTCTGGATTAGGAAACTTTGGGATTAGGATTTGAGAATAGTTCCCACAAAACTTGATGCTTCTGCATAAACATAGGCTGTTTCAGAAGATGGGGGTTGGATAATCTCACATGAACGAGGCTCTGCTGCCTTCCAGCTCTGTTGGACCATAATTCCCAGTGAGCCCCAACCAGCATGCTAGGAGTTGTAGTCCAACTTACCTTTTGAAATTGCAATCCCAAGCATGTTTAAAAGGGGCCATGCCGGAAGACTAGACACGGGATGAAAATGAGTGCAGCAAGTGACTTCTGGGGGGCGCCTCTGATTAAGAAGCATGGCAGTGTCTGAACCGACTCTGTAACCCCTAATACAGAAATGGAGACTAAGATCAGAGTTAAAAGTTTGTTATGAATCAAGAGTGTTAAATGAACAGGTATAGGGCAGATTAAGTATAAATGTAGATTTGCAAAGAACAAAAAAGGCCACAGAAAATATTTAACAAGAATTTTGATAAGCTAAATTGGTTGAATGTAGCTTGTATCTATAACACTGGAGGTTCAAGAAGAGGCAATGGGGAACATGTGTATTTTATAAGGGCTTCTATAAATTTACTACACAAAACCCATTTTTTTCACAGCAAAAAACAAACAAGATTGTGTAGGATCTTCTCGTGTGATGCTTATCTTTGATTTGTTGTTCTAGTCTAGAGAGATTGGACATGTGGTTCTTTCCATTCTTCTATTTTAGGTCTGGTTCCAAAATAGACGAGCCAGACAGCTGAGATCAACGAATGTCAAAGTAGAAAGAAACAAGGGAGCCCTCCTTCAAAACATCCAACTTTGGTCCCAGCCAAGAGAGAGCCCAAGTCATGCAGCAGCAGCAGCTGCAGCAGCAGCAGCTCAAGATCTAGTGAATGAGCCAAGCCAGCCAGGAAGAAGTTGGCATCTTCATCATCCACTGCAGCACTGGGGACAATATGAGCAAACCAGCGACTTACAGCAGCACCAGATGGTCCCTTTCCCGCAGAGTAGTTTTGGCTTGGGTTCTGCGGCTAAAAATGTGCAGCCGGGTTTTGGAGGTGCCGGGAATCTACCTTTTATACAGCAACAGGAACAGCAAAACACATTTAACCAGACAACTTCCCCTGGGAACTCTTACACTGATCAAAGCCTACAGCCTTCTGGAAATCTACAGTTGGGAGGGCAAGCTTGCACACCATATCCAAGGCCGCAAAATTTAACACATTACTCTTATTGTAACCAAGGTGGAGTTAACGAGGAAAATAACTATGCTCACGCCTCTCTGACTGGTATCAGTCCAGTTCTATATAGTGATGAATTTCAGCTGGATAAGAAAACAAGCTCTTTTGGGGATAGTTGGTCTCATGGGTCTAGAAGTGACATGTCATTGGGATATGGTAGTAACATGACTACTCCTTCCCCATCTGCACAATGCCAAGAGGGTCTTCAGGAGCAGATTCCTCCAAGCCATGTTTTTAATCAGCCAGTGACGGAGTACTATCCCCTTTGGCCTGCAATGGGAAATGATTATTTGCAAGAGCTTTGCAAGATTCTTGCAAATGAGTAAAACCAAAAGCAAGTTAGCAGTTATTTCCCTGATACTCCCTAACTCCAACCTCATCACACATACTGCTAAAAGTGTTTTATATTTGTAGAATTGTCTGTGCATGTGTATCTGTATATATGGATCAATTAAACTGTAAGGTGCATTTATTTAACAATAAAGATCTGAGTTGGATGGCATAATTTGGTGTCCTGCAACAGCAGAGAGTTGGACTTGATGGCCTTCATGCCCCCTTCCAACTCTACCATTCTATGATTCTATGAAATGTTCAGCTATTTTAGCAAAGTAGAGGATCATGAGCAGGGATGCTTTTTAAAAGTATGACATGTGTGACTGCAATTTCTGTATAAAGGTTCTTTCAAGCCAAGTCAGCCAGAAGGTATTTGCGATCTCTTGCATCTAATGCAGTATCTGGGACATTATCAAGCCTCAGAACAGCCCATCTGAAGCAGATAGTCTTCCTTCCACAGTTCCCTCTTTCTGCACAATGCTAAATAGAAGCTGATCCTTCTGAGCCATGTTTTCCCATCAGCCAGTGACACAGTACAATCTCCCTGGACTGAAAAGGAAAACAAAGAAGTTGCACAAGCTATACAAATGATGTAAACCTTCCCTCTGTAGCCTAGTTGGAAAATTCTGGTCATAATGTTAGGAACTTTTTGTATACTTGTAAAGTCTTTATATGCGTGTTTTTCTACAGTGTACCATTTAAATGGCAAGATGTGTTTACTAAACACTTGTTATTTTAGCAAGCTTTTTTAAGGGAATCAGGAGCAAGGCTGTTTGTTTTTGTTTTTTTTAAAGTACTGAATGGGTGTAACAGAGATTTGTATGTCACTTTTCAATAAAGGTTGTTCTTGAACTGATTTGCCCTATTGCCCTCATGGTCTTCCCAGAGACGTCAGCCTAGCCAGGCTGGGAACAGCCTGTTGGATATGCACACTTTTTGTCTGATGTCCTTATGCAGTTAAGCATGTACTTGAGTTTCTAAATGTGAAAGGACAACTCTGCTGCTCACTGGCAGTAGAAATAAAAGTTTCAGTTGCAGTTAGCACTGACTGCTGAGACAAATTCTAAGGTACTTAAGTCTGTTTCCCTCGTGCTTCTTATGTTTGATAGACACCAACTCAAAGGGTGCAGAGGACCTTGAATTAATTAGGACTTTACAATGCATGGACTGAATGAATATGGTTCTAAATGGGTTTATTCACAAGCTACCACATCCTTGGAGAACAGTGTTTATTCTTAATGTACCAGACATGTACTAGTGATAAGGTATTTCAAGCTCTTCTTACAAAAGCAAGCACAATTCAAATTTGTCATTAAGCCCATGAGGAGTTACTGTTTTTCAATTAAAAAATCCAGAAGAAAAACATGAGGATTTTGACCTTGTATTAGACACAGGATCAAATGTGGGTTAGATCAACATTCAAGACAAATGTGTTTTCACATTTATGCTCTGCTGTTCAATTGAACTATTCTCCAGATAGTGTACAACAGGCTATAACAATACCAAAAGCTGCAAAAATTCACACTTGCTACACCTATAAGCCCATGGTCCCCTGCTGAAGAATGGATCAAGTTCTGCAGTGCCTGGCTAATTACTCTCCCTGGCAAGAGAGGAAACCAGAAAGCTCCTTGCAGGGACTGTTTCACTGGGGCATGCTGGGCGGCTGCTTCAGTCCATGCTGGGGCATGCTGGCAGTTCTTTCCACACAGGCCAGGCTTCCACTCCTATTCACAGATAAAGCCTTGCTTTGCGTGGAACTAACTCTCCTTTCATTCTTCTAAGGGACGCCGACATCTCCGCCCGTTCCTTTTTCCTACAGCAGCTTCGCCCAGCCTGGGACGCTGCAGGAAAGCTTGAACCACAACTCCCAGAATTCCGCAGCGCACTTCCAGCGCGGACTTCCGAGGCCTCCTCGCCCGGTTGTCATGGTTCCCTTCGGCGTCCCTGTAGAGCCCCGCGGAACCAAAGTTCTCGGGCAGGCGTTTCCGGGGGACGGCGGGGGCGCGGAAAAGCGGTGCACGCGCACGCTTCTTTCTGCCGAGCCGCGTAGAGCCTGTGGCAGGTTGGCTCCGCGTGTGCACGCGTCCGTCTGAGCAGAGGCGAGGTATGGGGGGACTGGGGGGCGGTCATCCGCGGCTCGTGGGGGCGGGCGAGGGCCTCGTGGCCCCATTCCTGTTAGGGTCATGGCCTGGCTTCCCTACGCCAGGGGTAATTCTCCCAGACTCTGTTGTTATGGTTGCGATGTCTTGTTACTATTAATTGCTATCATCATCATCATCATCATCATCATCATCATCATCATTCTGTGTTTATAGCCCTCCTTTGCTATTGTTCTCCTAAGTGGATAGGGGAAATTGAAGAGCAGAGGAGATCAGTGAGAAAGATAGATTTATTTATTTAAAGCTTTTCTGTCCCGTCTTATTATAAAAAGTCTCAGGATGGTCTTACGATAAAATGAAGTAAAGCACAATATCACATCCTCTGTAAAACCCCTATTAAAATTACAATTAAACCTTAAAATGTTGAAAAAATAAAAAGGTTTTGGCCTGGCGGGGAAGAGAATAAAGTGTCGGTCGGTATCAGGCAAACCTCTCTGGGGAGCGTGTTCCATAACCAGGGTGGCACTGCAGAGAAGGCCCTTCCCTGGATAGCCACTCTTCTGATCCTCCTTCAAAGAAGGCTCCTGAAGAAGGACCTCCAGCCTAGATCTTAGGGTGCAAGCAGACACGTAGGGAAGGAGATGCTCCTTCAGATATCCAAGTCATCACCAATACCTAAAATTGGGCCTGGGTTTCAATTGGTAGCCTGTGTAGATGGTAAAGGACCGGTGTTATATGTGCATATCTGCTGGTCCCTGTTAACATCCCACCAACTGAAGTATCTGGACCATCTTCAAGGGCAGTCCCACATAAAGTGCACTACAATAGTCCAGTCTTATGCTTTCATGTTGTATGTGTTCCATTTTGCCTTAATAAACTTAGTGAAATAGAGGGTAGCAGGGTCCTATAAGAAGTAGTTTCTGTGACTAAAATTCAGTCTTGCATTTAATGTCTGGAATGGCAAGAATGTGTGTCTATTCTGAGACTCGTACAGATGATGCCACTAATTTGTTTATGCAGTAATAGCCAAGATGTGCTAAGCTTTCTCCTCCACTTTCATGCCACTGAAAAAACTGTCAGTAACCAGCTGCTGAAGGTTTCATTGCGTTGGAATAGGGGTCCATTACTCTGTTGGTGCTAGAAGTGTTGAAATAACTTGGTTTCTCTGCTATGTGATGACACATACTGTATATTGCATATTTTTATTCATCTCAGTTATACTTGTTTTCTTCTAAAAGAGATCGTTTAGCAATGGAGGAGAAGGACCAAAAGCAGCATCGTAAGAAGCATAGTGGGCCAAAGGCTGACAAGAAAAAGAAGCGTCATTTGAAAGATTTGGGACTTGAAGATGAGGAAGATGCCCGGAAGAGAAACCCAAAGGCCTTTGCAGTCCAGTCTGCAGTCCGAATGGCCAGAACTTTCCACAGGTATCTTACAGCTGGATTTAGTAATGTTAACCTTGGTTTAGCTCTCTCCCTTATCATCCATGAAAGGTTTTATTCTGATTTTTTCCCCTCCCTACCTTCCAGAATGCTCCTTTCCCCATCTCTGAGGTTGACTTTTCAACCAACACAGTTCCCTCTACACCCCTGTCTTGCACCTCAGAGTGGTGAAAATGAGCTGTCCTATGGCCCCTGGGACATTTGCTCAAGGATCATAAGCTGGCTCTCTGAACTGCTCTTAGTCAAAAATGGAAGGGAAAGTTTCTCATCTTGTAGGTGTGCTAAGGAAGTAGAAGGGAGTGGCAGCAAGGCTTGCTCTCTTAACACTAAACCAGGGATTATTATTTTGTCCAAACACAGACTTTGTTGTTGCTTTATAATCTAAAAGAATTCTTATTCACAAACAGGACTCAGGATTTGAAGACAAAAAAGCATCACATTCCAGTGGTTGATCGCACTCCTTTAGAGCCTCCACCTGTGGTGGTGGTTGTAGTTGGCCCTCCAAAAGTTGGAAAGAGCACCTTGATAAAATGCCTTATTAAGAATTTCACAAGGCAGAAGCTAGTTGAAATCCGAGGTCCTGTAACAATTGTGTCAGGTAAGAAGGCGTGGGTGCATGTAGCCTTAAGGTTCTTAACTTTGGCTGGACCATGTCCTGGATTAAAAACACCAAAAACAATACTTAAAAGTTTGAGATATGGCATCTGACTGTTCTGATGAGTAGGGCCCAGTTGAATGTCTCTGGGAAAAATGTTTCACAACCAGAATGCTGCCATTGAATCCTGAACACCAATTGCCACCCACCTTACCTGCCGCAAGGGAGGCATCTGGCACAACAATCTCATGGATCAGCAGGTGCTCATATTTACTGAACGTTATGGATGTAACTAATTGGAAAGGTGTCTTCAAGGGAGTCCCTGTGCTGTCCTTGATCATTTGTACCATAATATGTTTTATTACACCAAAATGAGCCAGAACTTCTTGGATTTCCCTGCCACATAGTCCTACCACATAGAATCAATTAAGTCAAAATTGTTATAATAACTGACATTTACACTGTACTGAAAACTGTCATGTTCTGCTGTTTTTTTCTTGTGAACAGGGAAAAAGCGCAGGCTAACAATAATTGAATGTGGATGTGATATTAATACAATGATTGATCTGGCTAAAGTTGCTGATCTGGTAAGTCATATGAGTATATGATGAGGAAAGTTTTTTTGAGGGGGGTTAAAACCTATATAGGGAGAACAGGTCACACATTAATTACTAAGTGTATAAGATGCAAACTCACTACATTGCTTTAGAGTAGTACTCTAAACAGTAGCTGGAATGAGTAATCCTACACATTTTTACTCAGAAAAAACTCCTGTTAGTTCCGTAGACCTAATCCTATATAATACGTTGAGGATTGCAGCTTTGCATATGGATCCTATGTTTTGATCTGTGGACGAAAGACCTTTAATGCAATATGGTTTATTGGAGCAAACTTGTTACATATTAACTAGGTACTGTGAATAGCTAGGTCACGTTCATGAATTGTCTTTTTGCTTCTCTTTGAACAATTCAGTAGCTTTCTGGGTGAAACCACTTGTGTGCTTGAAAAAAAAACTTTTGCTGTGCATAATTCCATTTTCAGCCAGTGGTGTTTACAGTACCTCTTGATGATTCGCACAAATGAAGTACATGCCAGAAAAATAGAAACAGATTATATTTCCTCATGTGAAAACTGCAGCAGAAACTAATAGCCAATGGGGAAAAGGAAGACACAGTCCCAAGGGACAGAGAGAGTTTGACTCCTTCATGTAGCCCAATATGTTTCAACCCTGCATTTTGGGCTGCCTTCAGGAGCTTAACTAAAAAAGAGGGACAGTAGGATATGTTCGTATATATTCTTAACTAAATATTTTAGTATTTCTAATTACCTGTTACATATGACTACCACAACAATCACTATGCATACTTTTTAAATTAGTCTGCAGAGATTTCTGAAATTTGAAAATGTTTCCAAGATAAATCTTTTGATTGGTTTATATATATTTATCTTGATAAATGCCAGTTGTATTCATATTTATGCTGCTTAGACTTAAGGTCATTCTTTTCTAAAAGTGCAGCCTCTCTCTCAGAGAGTCTAAACACATGTGTATTTTAGAAGAAAGAAAGAAAATCTAGCCCTTTATTAAGACCCCCTAACAGTTTAAAATCCACTCAGGTTCATTTCTTATTTTTCCATCTGTAAGGAATTTTTATGAAGTCCCAAACCTAAAACTCTTTGCTCAATGTACAAAACAAAAAAGGTGCTTTGGTTCTTAGTTCTAATATTGTACTGATGTTTCCCTACCCACAAATAAAAGATAAATCTCCCTCTCCCTCTGTGTGTGTGTAAACATTTATATAAATGTATACATTTGTATAAATATAAGCATTTTGATACTTGGTTTCTTTTCCCATCAGGTTGTTTTGCATGTTTTCCAGTTTTTTGTCTGGCCCCTATAAAATAAAGATCACTTCATTATTTCAGCGGACTCCCCGTCCCCCAGCTCTTTACACTTTGAATTCAACAGGAACAGGGTGTATTTTCCTATGATGCTAGTAAATTTGTTCCAGCTAATTGTTGGGACTTTCATTTTTCAAGTGGTTGTTTACTTTCCATTTTTCCTTTCAGGTTTTGATGCTTATTGATGCCAGTTTTGGTTTTGAAATGGAAACATTTGAGTTTCTGAACATTTGCCAAGTGCATGGCTTTCCCAAGATCATGGGCATTCTTACACACTTGGATACCTTCAAGAATAACAAACAGCTCAAGAAGACCAAAAAGAGATTAAAACACAGATTCTGGACTGAAGTGTATCAGGTATGATAAGTCACTAACTTTGTATGAAGGAGTTAAGAGTGTGTAACATATCTTTAAAGAGGGAAACACAGGTGCCAATAACGTGGATTGACTGTGCAATTGCATTTAGTTGCCATTGCAAAATTGCATGTATTTAGGTGGTTTCTATCACAACTTGATTTAATTCCATTCTGAAAATCTATTCATGTTGTCTTGTAGTTCAGTGTCTGCTTGTGTAAACTCATAGACTTTGATTTATTCGGGGAGAAAATTTAGTCAGGTCACTGTGCAGTGCTTGGTAATAATCCTCCAATAATGCAAGCATTTTTATATTCCATGCGCATTTCAGTTATGCTTTCACTGTAATTATGCCCATTCCATGGTACTGCAGTCTCAACAGTAGCATTCATGCAGGAATGTGTTACATACACGTAAGCCATCCTTGCCATCGCTTGTTTGAAAACTCTGTACATTGAAGGGATAAGCAGTGCAGCGCATTGGCACCCTGCAGGACCCACTACCAGATGTCCTTCCTCATCCATCTGCCTGTCCGCTTGCTTGTCTGCTCTTCTCCTTGCTTTTGTGGCCAGAACACCTCCGAGTTGCACAACTTCTTGCTTCCTGGTTGCTGTGGTGACTCAGAAGCATCCATGGAGGAGAAGCAGCTGGCTAGCCGTGCAGAAGAAGCTGCAACAGGCAAAGTGGCGGTGGTGGGACAGGAGAACCTACGGTGGCGGGCGAAGCAGCAGATGCTGCAAATCTGGCCTTCATTTGTCTACTGTTCCCACAATTTTAACATAGGTTTTCAGTCATACCTGATAGAAGAAGCCAAAGGGGAAACTATACATCTCGCTTGTTGCAGGACTGCCACTGCAAATGGTGCTCCCAGATCAAATCATCGTGTTCCTCTCCCCAAAAATGTGGCCTTTGTCTTGTCTGTGATGGCAGCAGGTTGTGTGTTTTCCCAGCCACTGGTAGCCAGTTGTTCAGAGCACAAGTTGTGAAATATGCGATGCAGTAATGTCGCTAAATTTTACGGGGAGAGCTGTTGGGACTGGATGGGGGTGCTGCTTTCGGTTGTAACCCTGTTGGTTATTGAATGTTGCCCTTCCTAACCTTCTCGGGAAGGTGAACTTTGTTTTCAATACCGTGTTGTGCTTTTTCCTATCTTTGTATTCGTATCACCTTGCATTTATAGTGAATGAAAATCCCAGACTTGCTGGAAAAATAGTTAATCATGCAATTCTATACATACTGAACTCAGAAGTAAGCCCTAGTATATTCAGTGGAACTTACTCCCTGGTAAATGTGTATAGGAGTGCAGCCTAAGTATAGCACCCTGCTTCAGGTACAACAAGATACATGTGTTCTGTGAATTAATGGTATTATTTGTGAATTTAGGGTGCCAAATTATTTTATCTTTCTGGGATGGTACATGGAGAATATCAAAAACAGGAAGTCCACAACCTTGGGCGTTTTATTTCCGTGATGAAATTCCGGCCTCTTACATGGCAGACGTCTCATCCATATGTTCTAGTGGACAGGTAAATTCCTTGTTGCGTTTTTCATTATTCCCTCCAACTGTCCACAACTTTAGTTGTTGTTGTTTTTTTAAATCATATGAAAGTACTGTGAAACTCCTCATTGTTTGATATTTGCGGAGGCAAAATATTGCCTCTGATGTATTTCATTGTCTTAAAATGGATCAGGCTAACAGAGTGGTGAGTGTGGGGTTCAGCTTCGTGGTTCAGTCCACATTTTAAGTTGGAGAATGTTTTTAAAGGTGTGGGAACTCCCTTTATGCAGAGCTCTGCAGCAGGTAACCTGGAAAGGTATGAATGTTGAATTGTGGGTAGCCATGATTGCAGCTCCTGTACAAGCAACAGTGAGGTAACCAAAAGAAAGTAGAGGTGACATGACCAGGCAATCAGCTCATTTCCTCCCCGAAAGAGATCTGAAAATTATATGGTGCTTAAAATTAAAAAAAAAAAACATACTTGACTGTCCTGCTAGCATCAAGCTTTTAGAAATTATATTGCTTGTAGAGCTTATACTTACAATTATATTATTTGTGATTACTTACTACAGTTGTTTATAGCTTGACTATACAAATCCTCCCAAGGTGACTTACAAATAACAGTGAAATACTGAGCATTTTGCACATTTTTTTTCCTAATGTTGTGAACCAGAATCCTTCCTGTAGTGAGGCTGGTGGCCACGGTGGGAGGAAAGGTCTGCCTGGAACAGGCCATGAGGTTGTCTTTGCCTGCCTGCTTTTCCCTCTTGGAATCCTTTGTACAAGGCAGTTGGCCCTGTGGGTCGGAAGCAGAGAAGGAGACATTCTAATAGGAACTGACTCTAAGTTTATTGTTGCTTCACTCAAGGTCAAAGGGATGTTTCTGCTTCAAGTCTGCAGACAGGAAAAATCCTTTATGGCATGGCATTTTGTTCGGCCAATTTCTCTAAATATTCAGTGTAGATACACATCATTTCTTGCTTTTGAACATGTTTTTCCTTACTGATTTGAAGAGTACTCTATGGAGTAAGTTTTAAAAAATCAGTATATAGTAGTACTCTTTTCAGAAGCCAGAAAATGAGGGTCAGTGCAGGGCTGGGGGCGGGATTGAAATAAGGAACATGATAATTGACAGCCAATCTTAGGTGAATATGAAATAAAACAATAGCCTTCTGTCTTTATGTTAAATGGAAGTGCCTGCAAAAGCAGTGGAGGCAGTAGGAATTATTATAGTGTGGGATTTTTGTGGTGTGAGATTTACAAAGATGGAACTTCTGTAAAACACATGCACTTCTCTGGTTTTGTATTTCTGGTGCCCACAAACTTGACACTTCTGGCTAAAGTTCTTAGAGAAATATGAGCAGTCTGGTGTTTTTATTGCTGCTACTAAAGCTACGGTCCAATTAAAACAATATTTCATAGTAGGGTCTAGCGGCCCTAAAATGTCTCTAGTTGATGCAGGAGAAAAATGTATGATAAAATTCAGTTTCACAGCAGGAATAACCATTCAAAAAGGTTAAAAGGTGAAGATGCTTAAGGGAATTTTGGTACCAGGTTAGAATATGCACAACATTTTGCACTTCATCCTTTCTGAAAATGTAGATAATTTGGTTCTGAAGCATCTTCTTATATTCTGTAGGATGGAAGACTTGACAAACCCAGAAGATATCAGAGTTAATCCAAAGTGTGACAGGAAGGTTTCACTTTATGGTTACTTAAGGGGAGCCCACTTGAAGAACAAAAGCCAAGTTCACATGCCAGGTTGGAGATAATGCATTGCTAAATATTTTTTGTTTCTTACTTTATTGTTAAAGGACCATTTTGAACTTTTAAGATTCGTTAAGAATGTTGTTTATATAAACTTGGATCCATTGGAACATAGATGCAGCCCCTTTAATAAAGCTACACTTCCTTTCTCTTTGCTGTTTGGTAGGGATAGTAATCCAGCCTCCCCTGACCAAGATTTTACTTCTTTTGAAAAAAGTTTTGCCACAGATCTGATAAGATCAGTAAATAATTGTTACTGCAGATTGGGAGCTGAGGTCACAATTAAGTCCCATCAAACACCTCTGAATAAACTCCAGTTCATGCAATCCCATGCACATCTCAGACTTAGGGGTCAAATGCAGCTGGCCTGGTGTTGCAGTCTGGCCCCCAGCCACCCCCACCCCCAAGCTGGCAACACCCACTTCCCTCTCCTCATCCTCTTTACCGCAGTCTCTGATTGTTCAGTGGGTTTCTGGCTTTTCTGGAGTGATTCATCTCCTCCAAATCCCAGTTCAAAAAGAGTGAGAGATCTAATTATAGATAGTTGGAACTGCTTTGCTTGTATATCGGCCCTGTCCCCCTTGGTCTTCAGCCTTCGCAAGTGCTGGTGTGTGGCCCCCAAGGGCCTCATCAAAATAGAATTCATTCCTGGGGCTAGAAGACTTGCTGAGCCCTTGCCATAAAGCCACCCAGTGACTAAGGTGACATTGAACTGGGACTTCCATGCCAGTTAAATGCTCTTAGCCACAGTGCTAAGAAAAAGCAGATTATTGCAGCCCCCCACCACCAAAAAAGGGCAGATACAAAGGCACTCTGTTGTGGTTTCTGTTTTTTGCATTTATTATGCATTTTTGGATCATAGTGCAGGTGTTAATTTTGGGCAGTATGCAGTCCTATACCTGTGTTAGCACAACAGAAAGCTAACAGTTCCAGAAGCAGCCAGGAATAGCAGAAACTCCGAAATGAGAATTTCTGCCTTTTTACAGAGCTACTGGAGGAAGCACTCATTCCAGTTACACTGGTGACGATTCCCATGAGTGCAGTGGAATGAATAAAAGTACAGTGACAGTGTTGGATCCTGCCCATTGCAACCTGTTCTAAAGTGACCAGTTCAAATGAAAAGGCAACATATAACTAGGAGCAATAAGTATTTAAATTACCAGATGAGAGTCAGTCAGGTAGCAGTGCGGCAACAATCAGAAATAAAGTATTTTATTTTAGCAGCAACCTACATTTGTGTGCCTTAGGGCACAATACTGTGTGTGGTTAGCTGAAGAATGCTGGTAGTTCTGGAACTTTCTCTGTCTAAACTTGCATAGATTCTGAAGCATTATAAGAAAACTGTATCATACAGTGGCATGAAATCACAGATATGGTAATTTTTATATGCCCATTGTAAATGTTTAACCATTGGGCCTCCTTGCTTTTACCTATCAGGCGTTGGGGATTTCACTGTGAGTGATGTCAGTTTCCTGCCAGACCCTTGTGCACTTCCTGACCACCAGAAGAAACGTTCCTTAAATGAGAAGGAGAAGCTGATCTATGCTCCACTGTCAGGTGTGGGAGGCTTAGTGTATGACAAAGATGCCGTTTACATTGACCTTGGGGGGAGTCATGCACATCAAGTCGAAGAGGTAAGTTTTTTTCTGCTTGACTTCTGTCTTCCCCTGTAATGGCGTGAAAATTACTGTCTGGTATTGAGGAAACCTTCTCTCCCCTCCCTTTGCTTTGCTCTGGAGATCATGGCTGGTAGGGAGCTGGAGGGAAGGGCCGGGATCATTGAACGTCCTCACCCTGGTTCTCAGGCAGACCTTGCAAGCCTGGGTGAGGGCTCTTGCGCTGCCATCAAGAGCAAAAAGGAGTCCGTAGCCCTGCTTGTGAGGAGGCGTCACGAGCCGAAGTGGAGACTGGCCCTTTCCCAGCTTTCTTGCTGCTGCCACCAGCCAAAAGGGCCAGTGCTGAGGGCCAGGGAGGAAGCCTCTGGCAGCCACCCTCATGTGCCACTTTCAGTGGCGCTTGCCCAGCAGCTGTTTCATGAGCACAGAAGGAATTCTCGCCAAGCAGCCCTGCAGCCCGTTTTGTTCTCCCAGGGGTGGTCGTGCTTTCCAGGTTTGGATGCCATGGCAGTCCCAGGAGTGCTCACCAAACCCTGAAGAAAGCCGTGGGCTGCTGGCGTGGTGCATAAGCACGAAAGGTGGGTTTGCAAGCCTCCCTGAAGAAGCTGTGGCAGTTTGCATGGCATGACAAGCCCCCTGTGGGCCAGGGGGCTGCTTGTGCGCTTGAATCCGGTCAGCGTCCATCTAAGAAATGTCGTACGTGCTGCAATGTGAATGTGGAATGCATGAGTGTTCTCTCCGCTGGAGGTATATCCATCTAGCAGGCGTCAGGACAGAAAGACCTAGACCATGGCTCCTCAAACTACGGCCCATGGGCCAGATTCGGCCCGCCATGCCTATTTATCTGGCCCGCCTTAGAGGTTTTGGACTCGCCGTGCGGCAGCTTGCTCACATGGAGATTGTTTTGGACTCACTCTGAGAAAATGATCTCCACGCGAACAAGGCGCACGCACCTTGCTGCGTGCGCCCCCCTGCCTCACGCCCCCCCCCCCCGGCCTGCGCCGGCACTGCCTTGGCAGCCCGTGCCCACTGCAAGCACCTTTCAACTGGCCCCCTGTTGAAAAAGTTTGAGGACCCCTGACCTAGATGTATGAAATAGCCTTGTCTTTGCCTTACTAGAGCGATAGAAGTGATTCTGGCATGTGCAAGGCAAAGGTGTGGCCTGAAGGACGTTGCAGGAGTTAATATTTTTCCATGTGGATTTTATTTCCCCTCTGCTTTTCTTACTACTGTTTTTGCCTCTCTGTCTTGGGAAGACTGAGAAACAAAAGGGTCCTGTTGAAATGGCTTCTGCAGTTCCGTGCTGCTACATTGACAGGAATCATTCTCTCAGGGCAGCGCCCACTGTGGATGGGTGCTTTGGTACTTTGATTAATTCAATTTCTCCTGGTCCATGAGCACAGTAGTTTGGGAATTTACTCTCCCAGTGTTAAGCAGGCTTTAAAGGAGCATACAAAACCTTTAGTTCCCATCCTTGTGAACTGGTTGCAGCATTCCACTGAGTTTCTCATAACCCTTGTTGTGTTTGCAGGGCAGTGGCCGGGAATTGAGCCTTGTCTGCCTGCTAACAGTGTCCCCCTTCTGTGCTGTGTGCAGCTGCCATTTATGCTGTTGCACTTGAAACAGGAGGTTGCTGATTGCAAAGCCTTTATTCTGCAAGCTTTGTGAGCTCTCTCAGCTCTGCTCACTTTTGTAAGACTGGGCCAAGCACAAGAAGGAGTCCACGAATGCTAGAGGGATCCCAATCCTAGTGATAGTACACATTGAAGAATGTGGCTCAATTTCTAGGTTTTGGTATGAAATGGAAATACATGGAATTTTAATTTTTAGGATGGATATGTGTAAATGAAATATGTTGTCAGAAAAGTATTGCCATTTTTTCTGAAATGTTTGACAGCATTTATTTTTTGAAACTGACTGAGCAGAGAATAAAGTTCATTCTTGCTCAGTCCCCTTTAGCTTTTTAGGTCCAGTGTACTTACTTTTCAGTGATTAATGGAATGCTGTTGGAGCAGTGGCTGATGAGAGAGCTAATAGAAGCAGCTCCGTTCTAATGGATGGAGCTTTAAAAAAGTAGTTGCTGAAAGAGTTTTGTTTCTCAGGAGGACGCAAGACCCAACCATGAATTAGTCCAGAGCCTCATCTCCACACACTCAACCATTGATGCCAAGATGGCTTCAAGCAAAGTCTCTCTCTTCATGGATTCCAAACCGCTGGGGACCGAGGACATTGAAAACCAAGGGTAAGCTGCAGTCTGTGGTGAAAGGAAGGCACTGCGCAGACCTTTTTCGTCTCAAGATCTTATTGAAAAAGAGAGTGGATTTGTTCAGTATCTGAACAAAATTATTTTGTTTGTTGCAAATATTCACGTGGGATAATAGAATTTGAAGATCATGTGGCTCGCACAGGTGTTTGATCCTACTGCCTGTAATACCACAGGTTTGCTTCATGTCATCCAGTGCGCCTGCATTAAGTCTTCATCCAAAAATGAATCTTACCAGTACAGTTTTGGGCACAGCTGCAATTTTAAAGTGAATACAGAAAAGTATTGCTTCCAAATTATCTAATCTGTCACAAGATTTATTTTTCAGGCATCTTTTCAAGAACTGTGTTGACTAGTTATGAAATTTGTACATGCTGAGGGAGTCTTGGCACATTTATGAAGTCAACACAGTACTTCACAGTGCTCATGTATATTAATGTCTATTCATGTATTATATTGTTCATATTTTATAACCCCTAAGAAAAGCCCAGATATCTATGCTGCAGGAGCAAAGTGCATTGGGTTTCTTTGAAGATTAATTCAGTTTTTACATCCTGAGACTCGTTCTTTCTTTTCCATCAGGTTATTTTGCATGTTCTCCTATTTTGTCTGACTCAGGACCCTTCAGGAGCAGCCATGTACGGGCTGCTTTCTGATGTTGTGATCATATGAGATTGTCGGCTGTATGTGTGAACAATGCAGCTGTGTGTGCAGTTATTTCCCCCAGAGTGACACCCACAATGCTGACTGGGAAAGAAAGAACCATGGGATCTATTTTGCCCATTCAGTCGAGTTACTCCCACTTCCCAGCAGAAAGTGTATGGATTTTACATTAGAAATGTTGGAAGTTCTAATATTTGCTTAAAATAAGTATGTACCTTTCAGACTAGAGAAAATCTTATATTGATGTTGACTCTCTAAAGAAAGAAACCAGTAGGCATGTACTGCCTCCCTTACACTGGTGGTAGTATTAAGCTATTTGCCTAGATCTGTGGGTAGATGAAGAAGTCACTAGTGTTATACCAGTGAAGTATATTTTTCAGTATTTTAATTTCTGAACTATTTTTAATTTGATGATACTTTTTTATTTATGCTTACTTTGAAAGCATTTTTGCAATGCCTCAAGAAGAGAAGAAAATTGACCCCCAGACTGGGAGGGTACGTCGGAAAGCACTGTTTGAAGATGAAGAAAACGAAGATGGTGGAAGTGATGAGGAAGATGAAGAAATGTCTGAGGAGGAGGAGGAGGAGGAGGAGGGAGAACAAAGTAATAAAGGTTTTCCAGACCAAGGACTGTTTTTGAGATCAACCAAGCAGCTAAAAAAAGAAAACGAGCAAGCAACTCTAGTAGAAATCCCAGTATTTGCTGACAGTGATGACAATCTTGAGATGAGTTCAGATGAGGAAGAAAGAACTGGTCTTGATGGGAGCAAGGAAGAGGCAGATGGCATCAGACAAGAAAGTGAGGAGGAAAGTGTTACTGATTCTGAATCTACACATAGAAATATGGATTTATCATGCAGCCCTATACACTGCGATGCAAACAAGAATGACAAAAAAATGAGAAAGGATAGAAACTTGCGTAAAAAGGTGGCTGCTACTACAGATTCTGGAAATGAGACGGCTGAAGAAATGTCAGTGTCTGACTTAGAAGAATCCTCCTTGGAGGAGGAGGGAGGATCAATTGATGGTTCTGATACGGAAGGATCAGATGGAGAAGATTCTCAGCCACAGGGGGCTGAAGTTAAAACATGTGCATCAAAGTTTTTAAAAGATGAGGATGACATTGAATGTCTGTTGAAGGAGGAAGAATACAATGAGGCATCTGATTTTTCTGCAGACACAGCTGGTATGTATACATCTCTTGTACAGACATGACGTGATGTTTACTTGTGGTTTATCTTTATTGCTATACAGTAGATTTGCATACTACCTTGCTGGTTTCCAATGGAAGAAGCTGTGGTTGAAATCCTTTATACACTTAGCCGGTAGTCGGTGCCACCGAATTCAGTGGCATGTATTTCTAGGTGGATATGTATAGATTTGCACTGTAAACCATACATAAGTTTGAGTCAGTATTTGAATCCTGCTGTTCAGTGAAGGCTCTCAGAACAACTTACTCATTTCAGAAACAAATCAGAGACCTAACACTAAAGGAAAGAGGATTAGGATGGAGGAGGAAAGTAACACATTCAGGTACTGGATTCTTAGTTAAACAGTTCAACGGATAATTGACTACTGCTTTCTCAGCTGGACCTCAGCGATGACAACTGGTAATAGGAGTGGGTGCAGGGAGGTTTCTTCTAGAGATTAATCTAGGCAGTGTGGGGGGATGTTGGACTGCTGCTTCCTCTCCTAATGGCTGCAGCACCATTTGAAAAACAAGCTCAAGGAAAACTAGAAAATGTAAGATACCTTTTAAACTTGAATGTCAGACAGTTGTAAAGCCATAGGCAGTTCCACCTCTTTCAGATAAGGAAACCATGTTTGTTTGTTTTAGGTGCACTTAAATGGAAAGAAGGCCTTACTCAAAAAGCGGCAGAAGCCTTTCTGAGGCAACAACAGTCGGCTCCTAATCTCCGCAAACTTGTTTATGGAACAGGTACAGATGCATTGCTCAGTCTGTTTCAGAGAATGCCAGGAGACTAATAAATGGGATTAAGGAAGGAGATGGGGGGAAACCTAGGAGGCAAATTTATGACTTACTTAGTTTTTTACTTGACCTCATGTACCTATGGTGTTCATCCCTGCCATATTGGTAGCCTGAGAGATGGACAGCTAAACCTTTCTCATAGCTTATGAAGGCTTCTCTGTCGGCTCACATGAATTCTTTTTTACCACACAGCCAGTGCCTGCATATAAGCGTGATGCCCACTTGGGTGTCTGTAGTCCTGAAAAACACCCTGTTTTCTATGTTTGAATGCAGAGGTGAGCAAAATAGGTCCAGATGTCTGTACTGGACCTATTTTGTAATAGTAGATCAGCAAGAATCTCAGTTGTTTGCCAATAAACAGATGCCTAGGAAGGCTTGGCAGTTATAGGCAGCCTATGAATGAATGAATGAATGAATGAATAAAATAAAATAAAATAAAATAAGAATGGGTGAATGAATGAATGAAGCAAAATATCTCCCATCCTCTGCTCAAATTCTGCTGCTGGAATGAAGAACGCCTCGAGTTGATTTTTGTTGTGTGGAAGGTCTGTAGTTTCTACTCAGTTCTCATACTTAAAGCAAATCCTGAGGCTCAGAATTCTTTTAATTCTGTTTGACTTTTTATCAAGCTTCAGTTAGTGAATCCTGGGGTTCCACTATACCAAATAGATCCAGAAACCAGAAGTCTGACCTTCCCTGTTCTAATGTATGCCCTAAACTGCATTAGACAGTTTCCCAACACTCAGCTCAGCCCAAATGCAGACTATCAGAAAGTTTCATAGGTTGACTATTAATAGTAAGTGATGTTCTTCAGCAGTTATAACAGGAAAGATTACAAAGTTTGGCAGATTACAACTGAATTAAGGCTGAAGGTCATAATTATTCCTGGGAGTTAAAAAAAACCTTAGTAACAAGGATAACAAGAGATTTGGGATGTTATCAGGGTGGATTATATTAGAATCAGAAGAGAGCAAGGGATTTATTTAAATTTAATAAAACATTTCTACCCTGTCTTTCACTAAACATCTCAAGACATTACATTTATAATTCCCGACAGAAGATGACAAGAAAGAAATTTTCAACTCTAGTGTATGGATGCTTGATTTTGACTTCTTTTAAACTTCTTTTAAACTAATAGCCCTCTGGGCTATTGGGATGGTATATAAATGCAATAAATAAATAAAATAAAACCTGTTACGGAATAGCCATGCAGTGCAACTTGTAGTACAGTGACTTGCAGTAAAACTGCAAAGCACTTAAAGTAGCTTTACTGTGCTATTGATTTGTATTCAGTGGCTGAAGATGAGGAGAAAGAAGAAGAAAATGAAGAACTTGGAGGGTTGTTCCGTGTTAACCGTCCCAGCAAAGAATCCAAACGAAAAGCTGACGCCCTTGACTGCTCCAAATTCCCTGTGGAATCCCCACAAGACTGGGACTTCGATGAGGTGCTTCCATATGAAATTCATTTTTCATATTCATTTCTTAAAAGGAGTGTTGCTGGATAGGTCAGCTTGTGTCCTGTAAACCTTGCAGGATATGATCTGTTCCAGGAAATAGAGAGAGGAAAAATAAAAAGAGGCAGGTGATGGAAAGAGACAGCAAAGTAACAGCTGGTGGGCTGAGACTGGGGAGAATATGTAGTGGCAAGGGAGACTTGTTTGAGGGGAAGGGGAAGGAGAAGGAGCAGTTACTTTGAGACCCAGTTGTGCAAGACTAGCCGATTCCTTCCTTAACTGAGGAATGGAGCCAGTTTTGTGTTTTACTCCTTGGAAAACACATTAACCAAAGTTTTGCTTAGATGGCTTCCTCCAGAAAGGAGCGAAATGGCTGTGTTTACCAAAGAGCAAGTGGCTGAAAGTATTCAAGAATGTTTTGTGCGGTGAGCTCTGGTTTTTGTAACTAATCTTGCAAAATGCTTGCCTCTAATCCGCTCTGATTCTTTATGTTGACGTATAATAATCCTATTGCTCGATTTGATTGACAGGTTATGGACAGTATCAGAGACTGTTTTGTGACTGGAAACTGGGAAGCTGATAAAGATGCAGCAAAACTGTTGAAAGATGATGGTAGGTCAGAGGTTTTCCCTGTGCTGCTTACTCTCTGTAAGGTCTAATGTTCTAACTTAGCCCTTCTACTTGCTGGAGAAGCTAATAGACACGTGGGTCAAGCGAGAAGGGAATTGGCTTTTATGGTAATTGTAGGGGGAATTCGGTGAGGCCCCTTTGGTCGGGAAGCCAGCAGTATCCGGGGGGCAGGGGGATTTTGCTTGACATTTTCCATATTAATAAGGAGCAGGCTTTGGGAGGTGGCTGTCATTCCTTGGCTGGGAGATTCAGGTGGAATGCACTCCCCTCCCTTCATTTTAATAGGGAAAGGGGTTCTGGAGAAACAGGCTACTGAATGAAGTGACTCTAAGCCAGGTTAAAAAATTAGCACATTTGTTTTATATCTGACTGTAACTCATTCTCAGCATACAGGAAGGAGCACATAATCTATCCAATTAAGTAACTCCTACCGCTCGGTAACTGTGTCTTATGGAAATATCTGGAACGAAGAGCCAAGGGATAGAGATGGAATGGAAGAGAATGTGTTAGGATGCATGCATGATTTAGGGTCTTTATTAAGGATAAATTGTCAGATGACGGAAAATAATGATCATCTTTCTGATTTCTGTTTTTTATAGAGGAACTATATGGTGATTTTGAAGATCTTGAGACTGGAACTGTACACAAAGGCAAACCAGATGATCAAGGAGATGAGGTTTGGGGGGAATATGCAAAGTGGTCATATGGGAAGCTCAAATTTTGGATTTTACGAACGATGCAGATCATAAACATTTGATCATAATTCTGCATTGTTGTGTAGAAATGAATATGTGTTCACTCTGTCCATAGTTCATGTCAGACTCCTAATGGCCTCTCAACCTGTGGCAGATGTGGAAGAGTCCTTTAAAATTCTCAAATTCATATGTGGGTCGATTAAGTGCATATGAGCAGCCCAGGGGCTCTGGGACCCACAAGGAACCCAGGGGAAGGAATACTAGATGTCAGGATCTGCTCACCCAGAGCTGGCTGGGTTCTCTTGTTACTTCTGAGTGTGTGTTGCATTGTAGCCACTTGAAGGATTGTAAGGATCCTTCCTTACTTGGTAGAATGTCAACAGACCTATGTTTACTGGAATGCAGTATAGCATCAGGTAGCATATAACGCTGTTGAAGTTCTCATGGAGGTTAGTTAGGCTATGAGAAGGATAATATCTGAAGCACCATGGCCTTAATGAGGCACAGACTCAGTCTGAAACATTTTGGTTCTTGGAGACCTAGCTGTGGATTATTGCCAGTTAACTGCTTTAATGGGCAACCCATAATTAGCATACCATATTTTGCCTCTTCCTGGGGACTTAGACATTTAGATCAATCAGAAATGCAAAGTGGCAGTATTCAAATAGTTAAGAAACAAAAACATGTATTTTTTTTTGTCAAGGGGTGGGTGGGAACCATGCTGAACAAAAGTTTCCTTTGATTTTACTTTGTTGCGAGAATATATTAGTGGCTAATGTAACAGCATTCTGCTCCCCACCCTCTGTTTCTTTCTTTCATGTGTTTAACTAACTTCAGCCTGCTGTGAAGTCGTAGTTGGAAAGCCAATTATGTATACATGTTTCTTCTTTAATATATGTTCATGTAAGCAGCTAGAGAGTCCACAAGCCAATAATTTCAATAAATATTCTTCTAGTTCCAGCGCCCTGAGGTATCCCCTCTTTTCTCCTCATATGCCATAGCCCTCTATTTTATATCCTCAAGTTAACCAGCTCTTAATAGCTTGGAACCTTCCTGTTTTGAAAACTTCAGTGCAGTTAGAAAGTTCTTGGAAGTCTCAGGTTAGATTTCATGCACGCAGAAAGAACCGGTAGCATCCTGATATAGTAGATTTCAGCAGTTTGTGGGTGGGGGGGTGTCCCCATTTTTAGTGTCCTCCTAAATGAAAGACTCCTTGCAAGTTGAAAACTAGGAGAAGAGGCTTTAGGCCTAGCCCTCTCCTCCCTTTGCCACTGACGACTGGCAGAACAGTTTGGTTTCTGAAGGAGCACCAGTCCATTTGACCAGACCGTTCTCACCTTGCTGCATTGGAGAGATCCACCTTCAGCTTCTTGCAACATAGTATGAAAAGAACCATAAAAAGCAAAGTCTGCTGTGTTTGCCCTAAAAAAGGGCAAAATCCATATCGTGTCATGCCATTATAAGCCCAGTGCAAAGATCACCAGCTGAAGTGCTTTAGAGTTGGCCCGATAAGGGTGTTGTACAGTATGGATTACAGAATGCCATGTAATTCATGTGCGTTTGCTTCGCAGATGGTTTCATTCCAGTCCACACGTACCTCCTCTTTGGGAAATTGCCTCTCCTGAATTCTTCCTTGTGTGCATATTGTGGTGTTATGCACACCACACAAACCATCCTTTGGCTCACTACTTGTACAATGAAATGGATGCTTGCTGGACAGCTCCCAGTTCTTTTAAAAAGGCTTTGACAAGATTCTTCTTCCCCCTCTTATCAGGTGGAAGATGAAGATGGTCGGGAGCAAAGTGAGGGGAAAGGTGGCAAGGCTGACGAGGAAGAGGAGAGGAAGAAGCGCATGGATAAGAAGCAGAAGCTGAAAGAGATGTTCGATGCCGAGTACGACGATGGAGGTGCCACCTATTTTGATGACTTAAAAGAGGCGATGCAGAAACAAGCTCAGGTATCACTTTCTGACTCGACAGGGACCTTACCTTGGGTAGAGGCTAAGAGAATAACCAGAAACTGGGAAGCCTCCGCTCTTTCTCAGAGAATCTGTACTTTTCTTTCCGGATTATTAATATACACCTGACAAATCATGACGTACATGCTGTTCGTGTTGTTATTATTGTTAACTTTTAAAAGAACTGTGCAGGACAGGAGATGACAGGGCTCTGCAGAAGAAAAATCTGGTTGGATGATAAAGGGCAATAAAGTGCATATGAGCTACTGGTATCACAGAATACCAGTAACAATTAGATCTCACTGGCTGACTCACTTTCATTGGATGCAGGTGTGTTGGAGGCAGTTCCAAGGTGTGTAGCAGGGAAGAGTTTTTCATTTTAGGATCCGAAAGGTGAGGGAAACCACAACCCCTTGCTGGCAGTGGCTCATCCGCATTTGAGTTTGCGCTGCCTGCCTATTTCATTCTTCATTTTCCATCAGCCAGCTGGGCAGCTCTTCCAGCATTTATGTTCCTCTTTCTGACACACATCATGGGAAGGGTCCCCAGCCCCAAGCTCGAGAGAGAGCAATGGCTCCATGGGTGGCGGAGGTGGTTGGAGCGCCTTGCATCAAAATGACCTCATGGCACCCTGTGGGTTCCTTCTATGGAGCTGGGCCTCCTGCAAAGCAGTGAGCATGAGAACCGGCAGCTTGCCTCTCCCTCCGTAGCTGAGGCGTGCAGGCTGTGTAGAAGATTGCAGCAGGTGTGGATCAGGTCAGGGGAGGGGGCGGGGTGGGAAGTGCCTCTTGCCTCAGGGATGGTGTTGGGAGTGAGGGCTGGGAAGAACCAGGAGGAGGCACTTCTGGAAATGTGGAAGGCTGCCACATAGAAGGAAGAAGCGACTCCCATTTCCTTTTGGGAGAGGTCAGCACACAGTCAAGGCTCAGAATCCAACAGGGCACTGAACATCCCCACTAGCTCCCTTCTTCCCTGCCAGTTCCCTTCTCCAAGCACTGGGATTCCATTGCACAAGCAGGACTCGCCACTTAGACAAGGCAGAAGTATTTCTTTCTAGGGGGACCCCCCCCCCCCCCGGGAAATGCTTGTTTCTGGAAGGAGCCACATGAGTGTTGCCAACTTGCAGTCTTGCAGGAATGAATGTTTTCCCTTATTCTGGGTTGTCTCAATGCACTAGATTGCCATTGCACAAAAGGGGCTGCCTGTGCAGTGGAATGAGTGGACAGAAGAGAATCGGTGAGGTAAGTGCCCTTAGAAATTGGATTCTACACAAAACAGCTCCAAGACTAGGGAAAATTTACTGTTGCTAGGTTTAGATGGGCATTAAAAAGTAGGGTAATCTGTTGGTTTTCTTGTCTGACTTGAAGGGAGATCACTGTTCAAAGGCTTAAACTAATGGATGGTCATCAGTATTCCTCCTTTTTAATTTACTTTTTCTTTCTTTCCTTTAACTTTCTACCCCACTGATTCTGTAATACAGTTCAACAGAGCTGAATTTGAAGATTTAGAAGACGAGGCCAGAGTTCAGTATGAGGGCTTCCGGCCTGGCATGTATATCCGGGTAGAACTTGAGAATGTCCCTTGTGAACTCTTGTTGCATTTTGACCCACACTATCCAATTATCCTAGGCGGCCTGGGAAACACCGAAGGAAATGTGGGATATGTACAGGTATGCAGTCACAACAATATATGCTTTTTTCATTATCTTATGGAGTACTAGTGTCCTTCCTCCTTCAGGAACCAAACTTGAGCTGTGCACAGAGTCCAAAGGTGATGCTTACTGATTGAAAACCCACTCAGAAGTGCTCCCTTTCTCATTGTGCAACAGGAAGAAACGCATTTCTAAACAGCTGTTGTTTTCAGAAATAAAAGCTTTTTCCTGCTGTGGGGGCCCAGAGAAGCCAGAAGTGTCCTAGCCCTGTTCTAAAACTTGCTTGTACTGTTTCATATCGTAGCTGGTCACCTGCTTATATCAGTTATCTGAATGACCTGCTTGGGTGCCCATTGGCATGTGAAAACCACTCAGTAGGCAGATGTTTTATACCTGGCAATAGATATTTTCTCGAGAAGAGTGAAACTTAGTCTGAAATGGTTTTCCTGCAGCCGCCTGTGCAAGGGGAAGCATGAAGTAGGTCTTGCCTACTAAAGCACGATACAGGCACTGAGCGAGAACTCACTCAAAAATGTGCAAAATACTAGAAACAGTTGTTTTCCACCCACTCATGGTTTTTTGTGTCCCTTCAACATGCTGCCTGGGGAAAAATACATATTTCCTTAATCCCCACATTATTTCTGTTTGCAAGATTTCTATTTAGGGGTTACGATGATCATGCTACGTACAATAATTTTGAAATGCCGAATATCAAACTTGGGTACATCGTCGGCAGCTTTCTGCACTGCAAAAGTATTACCAGTTTCAAAACAGAATAGAGATTGCTGAAATAATTGTGAATACTGGGGCTTGCTTCTCATGACTTTGATTTTTTTCTCAGATGCGTTTGAAGAAACATCGCTGGTATAAGAAAATTCTCAAGACTCGAGATCCTCTGATCTTCTCATTAGGGTGGAGGCGGTTTCAGACCATTCCTCTGTATTACATCGAAGACCATAATGGCCGTCACAGGTTACTCAAGTACACCCCACAGCATATGCATTGTGGGGCAACGTTTTGGGGTAAGAGGGAAATCTACACTGTTCTAACTTCTGGAAGAACACCTGGATTTTCTTGTAAACCGATCTTATGAAGGATGAACATTTTTCAGGGCTTTGCAGAAGAGTAACTGTGAAATTATTGCACAGAATGTAGAGAGCATGTTCTTATGGGACCAGGTAAATGTCCATTAGAACAGAATTCCACAAGTGGCCCGGGGGAGGTCACTACTGAAAAGGCCCTGCCCCTTCTGTCCACCAGCCTGCTTGCTCATGCAGCTGGGCATGCAAGCAGATCCTCCAGTGCTGATCTGAGAGTGTAACAGGCAAGTTGGTAAAGACGATGGCGATCCTTCGAGTCATCTGGACTCGGCCCATTTAGAACACCGCGGGACAATTTGCAGCCCTCTTGCATGCCTTGGGCTGCATCTCCCAATGGGCCAAACCCTGTTCAGTATAATCAGTAGTGAAGGATGATGGCTGGCGTGTCCCTGCAGGTGTTTTGCTTGCCAGCGGGCCACTTGGCACTTCAGAGGCCAATATCTACCCTTTGAATTTGCCCTGGAGCCTGGCTGTCATCAGAGCCACTGGTACATTCTACGTGTCACATCATTTGATCGCTTAGTACCTACCAGTCCTTTAGCAGCCATGTGTCGTTTTTAAATCATCCTTCACTAGACAAAGACAGCCACACGTAGAGGTACATTTGAGTAACTCAATCCAAATGTCACAAGATCATGGATAACTGAAGCAAAATCTGTCCTTTCATATGAAAACCGCTCCCAGTTTTCTTAATTTCAGCCCTTCCTCCTCCTCCCTCCCTCCTTCCTGGATGGGGATTTGTTTTGTAGTTGCCATTGTTAAAAACAATAGGGAATCAGAGGTTCTCCTTCCAGTCATCCAGAGAGCTCTGAGCAGATCCCATCCCAGCTGTATGTGATTTTAACTGCTTTCACATTTTACCCCTCTTGCTGTCTTTAATAGAATATACACTGTTGAAGCACCATCTGAAAATTTTGTTCCATTTGCTTTGCAGGTCCTATCACGCCACAGGGGACAGGGTGTTTGGCGATCCAGTCAGTGTGTGGTACTACAGTAAGTGCTGTATTATTAACAGTTTCCAATCAGGCTCGGGCAGCCTCCCACAATCAGGCACCCTGCAGTTGCTTTGGACTCCAACTCCCATCAAGAGTTGTCATCATGAACCTCTGGAAGGCACCAGATTGGGAAACACCGGGTCAGATGGCAATGGATTTCTTCATGAAAAACGCTTGAATGCTTATATTGATGGAGAAATAATATGCATTGTAAGACTAGAATGAGGCCTCTCCAATCCCAGTGCCCCAACTCTGTCATGAAGGTCTCTAGTCCGGGGAGAAGGTTCTCATGTTGTTATTACATTATTACCGTACATTGATGCCCTGCCTTTCTTCATTTTGTGAAGAAGCCAAAGAGGCCTCCTTCATCTTGCTTCCTTCCTCACAACAACAACCCTGTGAGGCTGAGAGTCCCTGACTGACCCCAAGCTATCTTGTTAGCTTCATGGAGAGGTAAGGACTGGAACCCAGATCTCTAAAGTTCCAGTCCAGCACTGTCACCAACACACCACACTGGCCCTCATAGTATGAAAGCAATACCTGCCTGCTTTGAAGTCCAGCTTGGAATTTCCCCCGGGTTCTCTGTTCCATACAGAGTAAGCTAAACCAATGTTTTGTGGACCCCTAACCGGTGAACCAGGAACTAAAGGGACTCTTAAGTCTGGCATTTTCAACTTTATTTCTAGATCTCCCTCCCTCTCTCTCCCCTCTCCCCGCCCCCCGTGTGTGTACATAAAATACAAATACTGTATTTGGATGTATTTCAGCCTGATTTTCGAATAGCTGCAACTGGAGTTGTGCTTGACTTAGATAAATCTTTAAAGATTGTGAAGAAATTGAAGTTGACTGGTTTCCCATTCAAAATTTACAAGAATACAGCATTTATTAAGGTATGTATTCAATAGGTATTTATGGCGTCTAATAATTAGCATGTGAATTCTTTAGAAATACAGTTTTACCCATTTTGGTTTTGACCATATCTGTGAAGGTTGTGGCCAGATACTGACCATATCTGTGAAGGTTTTTGCGACTAGGGAGAACTGGTCTGAAGTGTTCAAACGCTTGAGACTAAGCAAGCATCATTCAAGAAGAGTCCCCAACTGGGTGTCCTCCATTTGGACTTCCAGCCCCATTCAGCACGGCCAGTGGCCAGGAATCCTGAGAGCTGCAGTCCAAAGCATCTGATGCCAGGTTGGGAATGTCAGCCGTAGAGCATTTAGCACCTTTTCCCTCAGCAGAGTTGCTTGAGTTCCCTGTTTGCTCCCTCACTGAACTTAATAAAATCTAGGGTTCTGGTGAAGGAAGTGGCAGAACACATCTTGACTGCTGAAAGCGCTATATAAATGTCTCTGACCAGGGAGCTCCCATTTAGCTGTCGCACAGTGAGTAGTTAAACTCTTTGGTCTGCCTGGTACCTTGACTTGACTTAGGGCCATAGACCACTCGACATTTCAAGACGGGCTTCTAATATACAGAGCTGTAATCCTTAAAAAGGGCCTCAGACAATTCATTAAGCTACTTGGATAATTCTCTTCTAGCACTCTTTAAATCTTTAAGACTGAGAGGATTTGGCCTTCAATTTAATTTGTTTTAATGTTCTACAGGTTTTGTTTTTATTGTTCATTTATTCAGAGGGTTTTATCCAACTCATTAACTGAAATGGGTCCCAGAACAGCTTATATATAATCAGTAAAATAAGGCAGTAGTAGTTGTTATGTCTTTAAACTCTGCTGTAAACTGCCCTGAGCGAAATTTTAATGAAGGGTGGAGGTATAAAAAGACTCTGAAGTAATGATAAGAAAAAAACAAGGCCTGGCATGTTTATTTTCCATTGTGTATGGAGAACAGTGGTTTCCTTAAATTATCCTTACTTAATGTAAAGCATGGATTAGTGGCATTGACTTGTGCTAGTTATATCATTCAAGTCTATTTCCTGTGATTTGAGTAAAGATAAATGCTTTTTGCACTGATGTTTGTCTTATCACCCAGCAGCATTCTGTGAATGACAACTGTGATTACAGTCATTATGTCCGTCCTTTTCTGCATTTGAGAACTGACAAGGCTGTGCCTGCCATGTATGTGTGGATCTGCCAGCCTGAAGTTAGGTGGACAAGCACCAAAGCTCATTCCAGAGCAAATTTGCTAAGGGGGGTTATTTATTTTTAACAAAGAGGATTCCACAAGAGTATTATTTATGTTATGAGGTAGGCCTCTCTTTTGTTTCTCCATTCTCTTTAACACCTCTGACATAACAAGGTCACAGCCTTGTTAATTGTCTAAATTGACGGCAAACAAGAGGGTGGTAGAGGTGCGGATCTTTTGCATTTGAAAACTGCTCTGATTGAACCCTCCCCCCCCCCGAAAATGATTTATCTCAACTTCTAAAATGTAGTAGGGCCAAAGAGGACCTGCCTTGTTTGGGAGAAACAAAAGCGAACTAGCCTGTGATAATCTGAACTTGCCCTAGCCAGCATTGTAGAGTTAATTAGACCATTGTAGCAGTCTAATTCTTGAACTTTTCTGGGCTATGGGGCAGCACACAAATACAACAAATAAATATTCCCCTTCCTCTTAAATGACCTTGCCTGATAAAGGGTTCTAAAGAGCTCAAAAGCATACGTTAATTGCTTTGGTGGCATTAGTTGACATTACTCAAGAAGAAGCTCTTCTGTTGCTCTTCATTCTTTCCTTGTAAAGGGTGGAATTATTGGAGGGGAGGAGGCATCTAAAGCTCCCCTAGATATATATTGGAGAAGATGACAAGCCCTTGGGCAGCAGCAAAGATTCCTGGGCAAATTAGTGAGTGGTCCGTTTCCTGCTCTTACAGAATCATGGTTTTCCGGTATGAAAGTGCTGCCATGCCCTGTTCCATGGCAGCATTGTGGGGCCCTGAGAGATGATAAGTAGGGGTAGTGGTGAGCCTGGCTTTTCCTGGGCATGCTCCTCTTTGTCATTTGCTGCACAGTGACCCACAACTGGCCTTCACGGTTCCTACCTGTTTCCCTGATGGTTGCTATAGACAGTTTATTCTATTTTGCAGCTGGCTGTTAAGCTGGGCTTAGTTATTGCTACTGCTAGAGCTCTGCAAAATCTTCCATCGGGAACCTAAAAACCAGCTTTTGGGGGAAAGTGGGAAGTGCCTTCTTGTCCTGTCTCCGGTTAACCTGCTTCCAGTTACTGTCTACAAATATGCCATCTAATGGTCAGAAAGGAGAGTGCCCCAGTGTTTACAACCACTGTCGGAGTAGCAGATCAGCTCACATTCTCTATGCCCCAAGGAAGGGTTGGATTTGTGTTTCTCAAATAGCAGCTCAGTGTGCTGCCTTGCACGCCACTTTTGAAAGGGGGAGTGGGGAATCCCACTGGCCATATTGGAGCCCAGCAAGCCTGATGACTGGTGTTGGATTGCATTTTTAATCCACCCAATAACAAAAGTTCCTTGGGTAAAGAGCCAAAAGAATAGAAGCACAGTGCAAAAACAGCAATCACCAGAATGAAAAAGTACAATGTGAAAAAAATAAAAGCAGCCATTACATTCAAATTCCACAAATGGTCATTACTTGGTCCTGGCTTTCATGTACAGGGTTATGATTTGTTAAAGTTTGTTATTGTATTTTTGTTTGTTACTGTATTTTGATGACCCTCTCAAAGTGTCTGCTACAAAGAGGGTTAGGAACTTGGCAACACATTAACAACCTTTCATTGCTTCATTGTTTACGTCACACAGGGGATGTTTAACTCTGTATTAGAAGTGGCTAAGTTTGAAGGAGCAGCCATCCGCACCGTGAGCGGTATCCGAGGGCAGATTAAAAAGGCCGTACGGACACCAGATGGTGCTTTCAGAGCGACATTTGAAGATAAGTTGCTAATGAGTGGTAAGTGTCATCCTCCAATTAAGTACATTAAACCTATTTAATAAGAAGATCCTCTCAAGTGAAATATCAAAAGAGAGTTTGTACTCTTGAGAATATATCAGCTGGACTGATCACACAGTCATTTCCGAGGGGGTAAATTCCTGAAGCTGGTTCTGACCCAGTCAGCTTCATGTAGGCATCTATTTGTCTTAAAGTACTCTCCTGTGGAAATCGATCAGAGATAAAGGCTAGTTTTCAACCGTTAATAAGAGATTGATGTTTTGACATCAGTCTATTTTCTCTCTCTCTTCATAGCTAGGATGTAGATTCAGTGTCGCTAATTATGTTCCCCAGCAGGCAACTCTTCCACTTTCTATACCTAGAGCAAGTGGTGAATTTCCTAAGACTGTTTTTCTCCTATGTTGGAGATTGTGATTAGGAGTTTGTTTCAGGTTTCCTGGGGATGGTAACTGGAGTGCTCCACTTATGTGCAGGGCTAGACTAGTTTGGTTCCCATAATTAATCAATTCACATAATTAAGAAGAAAACCATTTTAAAAAAAGTGTATTCACTTGCTTCCGTTTTTCAGATATTGTCTTCTTGCGGACTTGGTACCCTGTGTCCACCCCAGCCTTCTATAATCCAGTGACTTCCTTGCTTAAGCCTCTGGGTGAAAAAGATTCCTGGACAGGAATGAAAACAACAGGCCAGTTAAGGCACGAGAAGGGCATCAGGCTCAAACAAAACAAGGACTCGCTGTATAAGGTAGGGTTCCAGGTAGATGTGCTCTTTCAGTATCAATTACGTGTAACTTTGATCTGCACCTCAACCGTCTTCAGCATCTGTGAAAGGACTCCCAAACTGCTGCCTAGCAGGGACGGTGCAGTGGCAGCTCCTGGAGAATGTTGATCTGAGAGAACTGTGATTTATTTACAAGAAGGCAACCTAAACCCATCCTGAGCTTCATGGCACTATGAATGTAGAAAGTCTTGAGACTTCACTTTGCACAATTTTAGCCACTTCATAGTTTCTGCATACTTTGTCTGTGCCTCCTCCTCCTCCTCCTATCCTGATTCCTGTCTCATATTTTCACAAAAAGACAATTAAAATAGCAAATACTGCTCCTTTTCTCAAGTAAAACCTTACTGTGGGCATCTTTCCCTGGTAGTGCGGGCGTTTGGTCCTGAGTATGCAGCAGAGGTATATTAGGTCACAATTGGAATAACCTTTGTGGAGAGCCTTCCATAGTTTCACACATATAATGTAGTCCAGCTTTCAGCTCATGATTCATCCTGTCTGCCCAGCTAACCAAATGTGCTGCAGTCTTTAGCACAAGGTGAGCAGCTTGGGGCTTTCCAGCTGTTTTGGTCTAGGATTCTTATCGGCCTCAGTAGCATAACCAGTGTTGACTGCTGAAGGGTGTTGCAGGCCAGCACATCTGGAGAGCCACAGGTTGCCCGCCCTGTGATTTAGCAGTACACAGAATAAGTTTCTGCCTGTGCACTTCAGTCCTGGCAGCATGTTTCACGATCTGTCAGTTGATGAAGTCTGTTAATGTTAAACGGTAAGGCCCACTTCAGCACAGTTCCTTAATGGCTGTTTGGCTAAAGTGGAAAGAGCTGTTCCCCATGTCACAAGTTGTGGGGAGCAGCTGCCTAGGATCCTTGCACATGGTCTGGGACTTTGAGAGTACCTTTTGGGTGTAGGAAGAAGCTGTGAATGTCTTCCAAATATTCATTGCAATGCAAAAATGTAAAGTGTGACTAAAAGGTAATATTCACATGTAAAGTGAAGGTATATCCCTGTTCAATTTGCTTTCACTCTTTCTAGCTTATCGTGCGGGAGAAGAAGCATTTCAATAAGCTACATATTCCCAAAGCACTCCAGAAGGCCTTGCCATTTAAGAGCAAGCCTAAGATCCAAGAAAGAAAAGCAAAGGTCACAAAGGACAAGTGGAGACCGACTGCTATCAGAGAGCCTCATGAAAAGAAGGTAATTTTGTTTACTTGGAGAAGCATTTGCTAGGAAAGCTATTTCATTCATTCATTCATTCATTCATTAAATTTGTTAAAAGCTGCTCACTAGCAACCTGCTTTCTGGGTTGCACTTGCAATATAAAATCAACTAACATTAATAAAATAATACAGTTAAACTGCCATAATAAATAATCAAAAATTAATTGCAACAAAATAAATAAAAATAATGCATGCATTCATATAATTAAAAACATGCTGATAAAATAAAATAACAGTAAAGTGGGGCAAAAAAACTTAGGTGCTAATGGGATTTCAGCTACTTGTGACAGACCACAAAAGGGATCTTGGGGTTGCCCTGGATAGCTGAACGAAAACTTTAATTCATTGTGCAGCTGCTGTGAAGAAGGGCACGTTCCGTGTTGGGGATCATTAGGAAAGGGATCAGAAATAAAACTAAGATAGTGATGCCCTCGTATAAATCTGTAGCGCAGCCACACTTGGATAGCTCTGGTCATTGTGGCTCGAAAAGGTTATGGTCATGGAACTGGAAGTGTGCAGAACAGGGCAAGCAAAATGATCAAGGGGCTAGACGGTTGCAGTGCTTGGGGCTCTGGTTTTAAATAAAGGAAAGGAAGGGGGAACATGATGGAGAGGTACATAAAATTCTGCAAGGTATGGAGAAAGAAAAAGACAGGGAGAGGTTTTTTCTCCCACTGTCCTAATACTAGAACTTAGAGTCCTCCAAGAAGCTGAGTGGTGGGGGATTCAGGGATTAGGTACCACAAGGCGAGTGGCCACCGACTTGGTCCCCTTTGAAAGGGAATCATCAATGGCTGCTTGTCATGAGTGCTCTCCAGAACATTGCCTCCAGCATCCGAGGTAGCCTTTGAATGCTGGTCGCTAGGGAAAACAGGCCGAAGGTGGTTAAACTCATCCTTCTGTCCTACCTGCAGAGTTCCTGTTGGGCATCTGGCTGGCCACTGTGGGAACAGAATGCTGGACTATATATATGCTGGATCAGATTCTGGCCACTGTGTGTCTTCAAGAGCTGCCTTTTGTAGTGTGTTGATCCAAGGATCAGATTTGATTTTTAAGGAGGAAGGGTGCAATAAATCCAACCCCTCGATTGCAGCCTAAGAATTGCAGCATTGGCTCTTTATTCATACTGGCACTGAGACCCCATCCTGTCCCGACAGTGCTTGCATTGCTACACCGTAACCCCAGTACTTAGCACCCGACTGTCAGATTTCCCTCTCTGACTATAGGTGTGAAATCCTTGGAAGCATAGCTGTGTCTGCCAGTCCTCACCACACTTGTCAGCCTTGAAGTAATAGATGTATATGTCACACACTGTTTTTCTGTTTTGTTAAGATCGCAGCACTTCTGTCCGCTTTGAGCACAGTGCACAACTACAAGCTGAAGAAAGCTAAAGTGAAACACCGGCAGCAGCTTAAAAAGCACATTAAAGGGAAACAGAAGGAGGAGGAAGAGAAGCTGAAGAGGCAGAAGGAAGCAAAGAAGAAACTTTATCGTATTCTTGGCCAACGGGAGAAGAAGAGGCAAAAGTCAAGCCTGAAGGGATCTGCTGAAAGAGAGAAGTGAGCTTCTAGCCATTGTCTACAGGAAGCAAAAAGTCATTGAACTCTGGAGTGCCCAATGAGGAAGGAGACCCAAATACTGTCAGTAGGTTATGGACTCCTGTGATCTTGCCTCAGGAAATGATGGGAGAGACGCAAGTATGACATTTGGAAAACTGCAATCATGGTTTTATGGTGTCTGCCACAATACACTTAGGGGATTCAAGTGCAGGCCTTGAGCACTGTGCAATATCTGATCGTTATTAAACTTTTTGATTTGCTGAATGAGAGTCATTCATGCTTGTACTTAATGTTCAAGTAGCATTGCCTGTTTCTGCTGACCAGAAAATAGATGCTATAATATAGCCACGGTTTTAATACTGGCATTTAATACTGATGGAATCCATTGAAGGCTTGAAGAGCAGCCCCTGTACCAAGGTGAACTGGTACAAAAATCTGTGCTTATGCACTGGAATATACTCTGTCTGTCACTAAGAAGGCAGTTTTTGCAAACCATGGAAAGAGGCCTTCCAGCAATAACAGTGGGACACAAAGGAAGAGAGGGTGGAAAGTACTCTGATGTTGCATCATGAGGCTCCAAGAAGGAGATCATCTTGTGTGTGCTTTGCAGCCGCATACCGAGGGGAAAGTGATTAAGGTTTTATGACCCCTGATCCTTTTGCACCAAGTCCCATAAAGGTTTACTAATGAAGCCTACTGAGAATGTGATGACAAAAGCAGAGGGTGATCTTTCGTTCTGTGTTCAAATGTGCTTTGTGCAAATTGGGCAGCTGACAGAACTGCATGGAATCCTAGAAGCAGGAACGCACACTTTTTCAAGACTTCGGGAGTTTCTGTTGATCCAAATCCAGGGCTGCGAAAGAGGTAGCCCCAGGTTTGGAGCAAAACAGCTTTGGAAGTCTTCCTTCTGTGCTCTCTGCAATGCTGACATTGTGCATTTAAATACATGAAATACCAACATAATAGACGTACAGTAAGCATGTAGTGGTAAAGAAGGATAACATCACTTAATGCCTGTGGATGCCTGTTTATTGAGGCAAATGTAATGAAAGCAAAGGGTCGATCTTGTAGTCTTAGCAAGTTATGAATCGTAATTCAAGATGGACAGTCATCAGGAATGCTTGACCTTGGAGTCCTACACCAAGTGGGGCTTGGACACAATGGCCTTACTGGCCACTTTCAGCTCTACTATTCTACGATCATGCTATCTATAAATATTATTCATGGTTACTAAAGCTATAAGCAGGAATGATCAAGAATGTGCATAATTCAAGCAGTTTATTGCAGCAATTAGGGGATTTTCTGAGACTTAAAACAGCCTCCTTGAATGACTTCTTCCTTGTTTTCATTTAGTTAAACACATCAATTAGATTATCAAAAGGGATATGCTGAATCCACCCACTTTCAGCTGAAAACAATTTGGTTATTCTTTTCTTGCCTCTGAGAGATTCTTTATTAGTTTTGGGTTAGTAAGCGTACACCTGACGGCTGCCACCAATATAGAGACAGAACAGAGCATTCTCGTGTGTTTTTATCTACTGCCTTATACCCCTTGCTCCTCCACGAGGCACTCAGAGCAGTTCTGGGACCTCCTCCCCAGCCCCACACATGCCAGATCACCTTTCTTCCAAGCGGGAGCAGGGAAGGGAGAACTTTGGCTAGGCAGGGGTGTTCCATTCTTGGCAAGTCTCAGCCTGGCCAGGCTGTCCCTGCCTGCTCCGTTGTTCCCTTCCTCACAGCTCTTGCATGAGAGTGGATCAGACCTTCTCACTCCTCTGAAGCAAGAGAGGAGGGTACCAATGAGCTCACCTGCCCTCCCTAATGTGCTTCAACACATACGCCCTGTTTGCGCAGCTGACGCTTCTTGACAACTACGGTGAACTGAACTCAGTCCATAGCTGCCAAGAAGAAGAGCCTCTTGGCTCCCCTTGGTGTCTTATGGGGTGCTGCCTGCAGGAATGAGATGGAAGGAAAAGCGGGGAAGCAACCACAATGAGCCTGTGTGTCCATCAGGTTCATTGTGGCTTCCTGGCCCTTCAGGGTTAGCCATCATGGTAATGGGCCATGAGGGGTTGTCCTGACTTGCAAACCTGCCCATTGAGAAACTCGGGGGCAGAACAAGTTGGACTGGAGGGAAAATGCAATTTAAGGTGGGGTCTTCTGGAGCACCTGCCATAAGTGCTGCTGGGGAGGTGGCAGCTCTGGAGACCCCCAGTAGCCCTGGTGGGGCTCTCTGGAACACTCATGGTAGCAATAAGTCACTCCTGGTGGTACAGAGGAAATATTTGCTCCTCTGTAAAGCAGGAACTTCAGCAGAAAGATGGCCCTGATTTTAGTGGTGTTCCCAGTCAGAGATCAAAAATAACAAAACTGGAGAGGAGAGAGTTAAGGTGAAAGGACAGGGAGGAAAAATAAAGCTTACTCAGGAAAGGCTGCAAGGCGCTCCACAGGCTGGGTCCCCATAATCATTCTGGCAGGAGCTGAGCCCAGGCAGAGCTTAGATAGGGGACCTTAATTTGGCAGAGGTTGACCAAAGAGATATCTCCGGAGATTGCCACCCCAGGGTCTGCTTGGCGGGGCGGGAGGAGTTTATTGTTCTTAAACAATAGAACAATAAGAGGATCGGCACCTTAGGACTCCAGCCAAGTTACTCAGAAAAGAGAGAAATGCAGATAAGCAGACTGATATGCCAGATAGCTTATTAGTGATTGGAGTTCAGCAGAAGAGAAGATGGTCAACATTTGTCCTTTGCCAAATGTGCTGTAGCTGGCCTTGCAACTCTGAAAAGACTGAAAAGATCAAACAACAAACCATCAGGTGAGTCAGCTACTAGTCCCGGGAGTGGGGGGCAGGGGGGCTCTGCTCTCCCAGGGAACATCTGAGGTTGGAAGTCCTGAGTCTCACAGTCCTGTTGAAGCTCACAGCCATACATGTGGGCTGCTATGCCTCACCATCCACAACATTTTCCCTATCATGGTCCAGAACAGGCACGGTGAATATGTGGGCCCCATATGCTGGACTACAAGTCCCATTATTCCTCCCCATTGGTTCTGCTGATAGAGGCTGATGGGAGCTGCTGCCCCACCTTTGGTGGCCCACGTGTTGCCCATCTCAAACCAGTTCCAGGAAACATCACATGCCCAAGGTAGATGTTCCACAAAGCTCATTGATCTAAACTGCCCACTTAAGACCACGGTACTTCAACATGCTTCACAGTGCAACAAGGGCCGGCCTCTTGTTACTCCTCCATTCACCCACCAAACCACTGCATGGGTTGCAATGAACCTCAGAGGGAAGAGACATTCTGGATGGGGTGCTATCTATGGCCCTTCTAATGAAAAAGGGCTAGCTTTGCATCCCTGTGAGTGAGCCCTGGCTCCAGGACACCATCTGATGGAGGACTCTTGTTCCAAAACTTCCACTAATTGTTGGAACAAAATCCTGATCTTCCTAATGTGCTCACTCTAGCCTATAACTATTAGGATGGAATATTTTTTAGAGCCAATCATCTAACCCATTTTCTGGGAAGATTAAATGGAATGCTTTAGTTCTAACGCAGTGAAAGCCTGGCTCAATATTTTGTTCTGTTTCCAAAGGCTGCCTGGATTAATGGGCATTCATCATCTTAGAAGATGAATCCCCCTTTTCCAGTTGGGACCATAACCCTCCGAGTATTGATCGAAATGTCCACATCACTTCCACCTAATAGAATTTCTAGGTGAACTAATTGTTTTCTCTCTTTTCATCTCACTAAATGAGGTCAATAGCAAGGACGGAATGAGAGAATTCGCCTTAAGTGATTTTGGCATCAAAGCTGGCTTGGAGGATGTGGTGGGACTCTCTTGGACCCTGACAGTATCAGGAGCTTTTTGTAAGCCACCAAGAGGCTTTCCAAGAATTCTAAATGGGGAATTGCATCTGATTAGTGGGGGCTGTTTGCTTTCTTTCAAAGAGTTCTGCTTTCTGAGCATTAAAAAAAATCTAACTTTCTTGGTTACATGTGCTAAGCAGGGCCGGCCCTTTGCGAGACAAGGTGCATGTGGGGCCTCAGGCAGAAGATGCAGATGGGTGATACATCCAGTGTGCCCTTCAATGCCATTAGGGGAGGGCTTTCTCAGGGTTGGAAGCAATACTTCCACAGTGACAAAGAAGAAATGCATTCCTCTTTGAAGATGCCACCAGGAATCCATTTTGCAGCATCAGAGTAAGGCAGCTATTCTTCTGGAAGAACCTGTAGTATTGGGTGCTCAGCAGGTTCCACTGAAGAGCTCACTAAAGGCTGTGAACAGTTTTTTTTGTTGCAGAATTTATATCAAATCTTCACTCATGCACTTGTTTGTTCTGACCCTTTTTAGGGAGATGCTCAGATTGATTTGTCTTGATAATTTGTCTTGATAATCTCCTCTTTGGGGAGATTATAACGGGTTACACCCATGCCTTCAGCCAGGCAGCCACATCATTGCAATCAGTGATGAAGGAAATTTATATTGCTTATGTTCAGAGGCATTTACCTTCTGTTATTCAGATCTGATTTATGTGTAACACCAACTCATGATTTCTTCAAATCCTGGTTTATCGCCCTAGCCAAGGAATGTCTTGCAGATGATTGAACAAATCATGCCTTTTATTCTCAGTCTTTGAATTCTTTGATGCTCTCCTCCTTTGCCTGTTTCCTCCCTGTACTATCCCTTGCAGCACCACAACACTGGCATGTAAAGAGGCTTTTCCTTTCTCACCCACTGTCTCTGTCGCCTGGGAAAACAACCCATTTTCATCTGGGTTCACATGTAATGACAATCCATGGTTTAAACAACCCATGGTTCACAGAAAACCAAAGGTTCACTTTGGTATGAACAACCCAGAGTTACCAGCTTGCACTTAATAAAAGCCCACAATTCAACAAGCCATAGTTAATTAAACCATTGTTTGTCTTTACATGTCAATCAGGGTTCAGAGTAAGCTCTTGTGCAAGGAACAAATTATGTGCCTTAAAACCCCATGCACTCTGGGGGTCCTGATTTCTTTTTATATTTGTTTCTGACCTGGTGCCATGGTCAACAGTCATTGTGTGCTGAAATAACCAGCACTATAGTTGGCAACACCAGAGGTCAGCTCAGAACCAAAGGTTAGGAACTACGGAACTGAAGCTGATGCTGGTATGTGTTCAAAAGTTCAGATTGATATTAACCCAGTGACCTCTGGAATTACACTGTGCAGCTTTTCCCCATTGCCTCTGGCTTCGCTTTGTTCCCATCTGAGAACCA